GGACGCACAATTCCCATTGTCGAGGGTGTCATTTGGTAATTGTTACAAGCTGCCGCATATTTGGACAGCCAAGCGACCCACTCAAAACAAACAAATGAGCCAAGTCGAGCCAGCATCAACCCCTGAGCACAAAGGAGCACCCACAAGAGATACACGGATACAAGGACCAGACAGGATCACACAGCCTCAGCAGCCGCTCTTGAGGGCGGCCTGTTTGGCTTGTGAATGGCAACTGGAAATGTCATTAGTTTACAGTTGTCTGATTCCATTTCAATATTGTGATCGATTATGACATACCCCCCTCTCAGCACTTCTCAGGGTTATTTAAGAGACCAACTAGCAAGTAGTTCCTTTGCAGTTCCTTTAGCTAACAGAGAGAGAATATGAATTTAAGTTTTTTGCGAAATTCCACCAGCAAACGTGAAAGAATCGTGAAAAAGAGTTGATAAAGTTTTTGTTTACCTTTCAAATACGAAATATGAAAAGTTTCCCACACTTTTCGGCAAATCCACAACTCTTTGGTGGAAATGGGAGTTAAAAAAAGCTGGGTAAAGTTTCGGCTCTACATTTATTTCCAATAATCTTATCTATATCTTAGGTGTTGCACACTTTCCTAAGAATCCACGCCGACTGCTTTGAAAATTCGAATCAAGGTTTTTGCGTTAAAATTTATGTTTCGTCCGATCGGATTTAAACTAAGCCCTGCATGAAGTTCCTAATACGACTTAACTCAAACTCACTTTCAAATAGCTGCTTAAAACATTTTGGCAGGTGTGGAGCTCAAGATTTAAAATTTTCACGAGTGGAAAATGGGTGGAAAATTGATGTCACAGACTAGGCGTGGCCGGGTAACACCAGTTAATCCGTCTATATATTGTCTCGAATTTTGTATAGATCTAGCTCGCAGAAGATAGTCTGAAATTGGTTTAAATCTAGGGTATTATTTAACTTAAACCGATAAATATCGATTTCAGTACTTCTTCTTTTAAGCATAACTCTAAAATAGGAAGAGCTAAATGCCCCAACTTGTGATTTTTATTTGTCACACGCTTCGCTATAAAACATAATGCTTAATGAATACACTCACTCGGTTGTTACATTCGCTTGTTTCATAATGAATAGACTCACTCAGATATTGCATGGGCATTTTGTGAACTTATGATCTGCCCAAAATGGGTCCCCAAATGTAATGCAAGACGTTGCAGTCGCCCCTCTTGAGCTTTTCGAATATGAAAAACCGACGACATCTGCAACTGTTGCTGCCGCTGTCAGCAACTGTTGCTGCTGCTGCTGCTGCTGTTGGGACAAGTGACGCCAGTCGATATGATTTGTGATTTACAACAGGTTTCAATTAACAAGTAGCCACTGCAAGACGCCCGACCAGCCCCCCCCCCAAAGGCAGACAGATATAAAAATATGCCCTAGCCGAGAGTATTTTCATTCTGTTGTGACTTGTGTAACAAAGCGAAAAGAAACTTTGCTTATACAGAAGTAAAACTTGAGTTAAAGTGTATTGTTGCAGTGTGGCAACGCCATAGCCGCATCTGGCAACGCCGCACTATGTGTAAATCAAATACAAATATCTCTATTGACATGATTTTCTTTTTTAAGAAGCTTTCTTCACAAGCTATCTTCAGTGCTGCCAGATGGGCCATAAATTAACAGGGTGGCAGCACTGCAAACAGATCTTTAACTTGCATGGAAACGGGCTAACTTTAAGATTAAATGTCAAAGTTGCTGTCAACTTTAGCAGGCACATTGAAATAAAAAGTTGTCAGTTTTATGTTATTTAAACAAATCAAAGAAACATAAAAACTTTAGAGAAGAGTTAGGGTATCAAGGACTTCGGCTACTCGAAGTTTGTTGTTTTGTTGTTTTTTTTTTGCGTATTGGGAAAATTGAGCAGCTGAGAGGCGTTGACAGGGACATAAATAAAGGTCGGTTAAGTATCAAGTAATGCTAGACGAATAGTTTGAAGTTTGATTTTCGTTGCGAAGAGGGCGCACATCTCGCCCGCTCGCTCTCTCCCCCGCTTCAGCTGTGAGCTGTGTAAGAAGAGAAGCCGCTGCGCTCCCGAGGGGCAGTTGCAGTTGCAGTTGCAGTTGCCGCTTGCTGCTTGCCGAGCGACTAATTGAAGACAAGGCGGCAACGATGCCGGCATAAATTAGACAACAGGCCGAACAACAAGAGTGCCATTAAGTGGATTCCGGTGAATGGGAGGGGGGTAAAAAGAGAGAGGGGGGGAAGGGGGGCTTGTAGTAGTAGCGTGCAGAGGCGAGGCATTAGATAAGGGGGGGGGGGGGGGGGGGGGGGGGGGGGGGGGGGGGGGGGGGGGGGGGGGGGGGGGGGGGGGGGGGGGGCTAAATGAGACCCGTCTGATGGATTGTTAAATGTGTATGAAATGTCGCGGCGACATATTTCAATTAAAAATGCGCCAACGTCGCGATACTTTGCCTATACCCAGAGCATAGCATATACCCTGTAAAATGGCTGTAACTGGGGCACACGCAGCCAGACGAATATACTTGATTTCACTTTTTTGCATGCACTTTTAATTCCCCCCGACTTTAAGCTAACTCAAGCCATGTCTCAAAATCTGGAGGATTCTGCAAGTTCCCGTCTTGAATTTTGGTATGCTTGCACATTTTTATATTATCCATATATATACAGACTTTCAGATAAATCAGTTCGTGAACTCCGAAGTTATGTTGGGCTAGTTTCTTTTCCAGCGAGCAGAGCAGGAAGAAGCCTTGCTTTTCGATCTGCGCCTGGGCTGAGGCTCAGATATACACATATGTAAGGTCTGTGCCTGGGTTATGCCTAGTAAATATATATATATATATATGAATATATTTCTTATAGACTCAGAAAGTCGACATTCTATTCGTTTGGGTCTGAAAGTATCGGGAATAATTCCAAAATAAAAAGTAAAGCCTTTTTCGAGCTGTAATATAACAAGCTAGGAAACAAATAAGGCATTCAGGCAGGTTTTATAGAAAAATAGACATGAAAATACCATCAAATTATTAGAGATGGGGGAATCCAACGAAGTCGAGCATTCGGGAACTCAGAAATAAAGAACAGGGCTACTTTTTAATGCAATTGTCGTTCTCAATTGGAAAAGTGACTTTTCTACACAAATTTAGCAGCGACTTTTTGGTTTTTCTCCGTGTGCTTGCTGATTCCAGGGTAACTGCTGGTCGCGCATACCCGGCCATGCCAACATCTTAATCATGTGCGTAATCTTTGGGCTCATTAAATTCAAATGGAATTCCGTAAAGCCAAACATAATCCGCTCATAAACATTTATTTGTTGCTCTGCTTGGCGGCGCCTCACACCGCACCCAACCCCCCTCTACCCCCCCCCCCCCCCCCCCCCCCCCCCCCCCCATCAAGCACCCAACCACCCACTCTGCACGGCCGCCACTCCCCTTTATTTTGTTGCATAGAGGTGCCCCGTCTCCTTGAACGGGCATATTATAAATCACATGCTCTTTTGAAGGATTTACTCGGGCTCAGCTCGCAAGCCCCAACCCGCCCTCACCCCGCCCCGCCCAGCCATTTGTCTGGGCACGTGTAGCGCACTTAAGACTCGCAACGAATGTTATGCAACACTGGCCAATTTGGCAGCAGCTCCTCAGGCCCCACCAGTCGCCGCTCGCTCAGTCAAAAATCTAATTTCAAGCACCAGAGAGCACCCAAAGCCCAAAATGCAGCTGGATAGTTGGGTGGCTGGGTGGCTGGGTGGTTGGGTGGTTGGGTGGTTAGGTGGTTGGGTGGCTGGGGCGGTTGCCAGGCTATTGTGGAGGTGTAGGTCGAGCAGCAGGTCCCAAGGCCGTGGTGAATTTGTGACCGTCGCCCGGTTCCACATCGCTTGCTTCACGATTTTAACTGCTGTCAGAGTTTCTGTTGTTTGCGCAGTTGATGTCTTAATGCCACAGCTCGCAGACGGGACCCAACCACCATCCAGCACAATGCGCAGCCCAGCCAACCCAATCCACCCCTCCCCTTCCCTACCCTCCCCTGCCCGCGCGCTACCATACACTTTTAATCAAATGGATTTGTTTCTATTTTCTATCCAATTTTCCTGCCGTGCTGCTGCACTCCCCCCAAAAATAGACACTCGTTGGGAGTCGAGAGTCACCAATCAAACCCACCCCCGACTCCCTCCACCCTCCACGCCTGCCCCTACCCCTCTCGCTTGCCATCGCAGCTTCAATATTTTCAAGAGTTTCGAGAGGTGTCAACGATTTATTAGTCTTGTTTTTTTTTTAGCTGAGCTCTCTGGGTATTAACTGGCCTAGGTGCAACAATAACTCACGATTCCCAACTAGATAAAGATTCAGATAACATGTAGATAAATATATGTAGATATATGGAAAGAAATAAAGTTTTGGCCAGGCATTAACAAAAATACACAAAAACCCGAAAAGCGAGCATCCAATTTAATTGCAATAATAAAATATTTCATTTATAGCATTAAATATTATTTTAATTTTAAGTTTTATTTTATATAAAATTTTATATTTATATGATTTTACGCATGCAAGCGGTTCAAGTCTATGCTTAGCCATAATATAGCAAACTAGAAAGGGTTCAAGTCGGTGCTAGCCCATATTATTTAACTGTACCCATAAATATAGCAAGCCTAAGCTCAAATACTGAGAACAGTATGCGCCTAAAACTTTTAGCAGTGCCAACAACCCATGACGAAAGCTTGAAAATATTTAACAATCGCCGCCTGAAAGTATGCCATGCCGTTTAAATATTATGTTCAGCCACCTTAGCTTAGCATATAACCATTTTCTACTAAATAACTACACCAGCTGTTAACATGCTAACAGTGCTGTTAAATAACAAAAACGACGCGCCAAGCTATCGATAGCCACAACAGCACTCTGTTAAGCAGCATCGATACCTGAACAGCAGCGCCGCAACAACATTAATGCACGCCTGTTAAGTTAACAGTCCGGCAGTCGGTCTTTTGCATTCGTTCGTTGCAGACGTGCAGCTCGGCATAAATATTTGTGTGTGTGAATTTTTTTTTTCGAATTATTTTTGCCTGACGCGCTTGAGATTCAATTGTGGTTCGTTCAACTGACGCCAAGAGAAAAGTAAAGGAGAAAAAAAAACATTTTAACGCGCTTATATATTAATGATAAACAAAATATAAAAACGGCATTGAGCAGCCACAGAGCAGAAAAGTGAAAAGCAACATTTTCTGCTACGCTTGAGAACCGAAACGAAACACACAACAACAGCAAGAAGAAGAAAAACAAGACAATTGTAAGACGAAGACGAAAGCGAATAGCTGAAGAGAAGTAGAGAAAAGATCATGCGTGCTTGACGACGACCACGACGACGACGACGACGCTGGCAACGCCACCACATGCATCAGACGAGGGGGGAGAGGGTGACAACAACTAGTGCCAAACACAATGCAAGGCAGACAACGAGAAACGAGCTACAACAACAACAACAACAAGTAGCACAGTATTTGTATTTCCACATAATTGACAACGAGCGCCTGCAAACGTGCGCACAAGAAGCCACACAAGAGAGCCAGAAAATTAGACGAAGAAAATAAGACAACGGCAACAACAACAACAACAACAACGCTACAGCAGAAAAAACCGCTCAGCATTGGCATCTCGAATATGTGTCTGCATGCATGTATTTGTTGTATGTACAAATCTTTGGTGTGTCTTGAAAGCTTTTCTGCATTCAACGTAGAGGCAACAGGCGTCCGTCTATAAACAAAGCTGTCTGCAGCGCAGCCGCAAAGCTTGATTGAAGTTCGTCTTAATAGCAGCAGCGGAAACAGTGTTGTGTGCGGCAGCAGCAAATTCATTTGTTTTGAGTGTCCACAAAAAAAAAAAAAAAGAAAAACAGTGCTGCGTGCAGCGCACAGGAAGCAATAAGGAGGCTCAAACGAAAACAGTGTTGTGTGCAGCAGCAGCAGCAGCGAAGAGTAGTGTTGTGTGCAGCTGCAAATGCTGCAAACATTAGCATAAATACTAATATATATAAAATATACGTAGACAGGAGTCGTATAAAGTGTTTTGTGCGGCAATTAGTGTGAGTTTATTTAAAAAGCGCTTAAATAAACGAAGTCTTGCGAAACAAATTAACACCCACACACACACACAAAGATGAAAAGCTATTGGCTGCTGTTGCTGCTGATCTGTGCAGCAAACAGTCAACAAGAAGAAGAGCTAGTCACAGGCAGCGCAGCAACGCCAACGGCAACAACAACAACAGCGCCAGCAAGCGCCTCGGGGCGACCGCCGCCCCCGCGCGTCCTGCTGAATAAGTGTTGCCACCAGGGTGAATATTTGAATGGAACGACGCTGGAGTGCATAGCGGGCTCCTCGGAGATGTGGGTGCCGCTGGTGTATCTGAAGCAGCAGCAGCGCTTCTTTGAGCCAAAGGGCGCCAAGCCCCGTTTCATCAAGTTCCAGCCAAATGTGCGGCCCAGCTGCCAGGCGCAGCGCCAGCAACAGGAGCTCTTCAGCAGCCGCCAGGCGAACGTGGTGCTCTTTCCCAATGGCACCATGTCGGTGCGGGAGCGTGGCCTGCTCGTCGAGCCGGCCAGCTACTGTGTGGATCAGGATGTGGCCCTCGTCTGCCTGGACAGCGAACCAGCGCCGGCCGCCATGGACAGAGAGCGTGTGCCCGGCTCGGATCCGGCCGGCGAGGCACTGCAGCCAGCCGCAACCACAATGTCGCCGCTGCGCCTGCGCAAATGCTGCGGCAAGTGGGGCAGCTACGACAGCGGCACCAAGGGCTGCACCCTGCAAACGGCCGCCGAGCGTGCGGACAGCGGCCAGCTGCAGCTGCATCTGGCGCCACAGCTGCTGCCGGGCAGCTATCAGACCAGCTACGGCCTGCCCGAGTGCCTGGGCAATGGCAGCGGCTATGCCATTGCCGGCGACTGGCACGAGGCGACGCTCAATCGCAGCACGGGCGATCTCCGGCTGACGCACACGAATCTGAGTGCCGCGCAGTATTGCCTGGAGCATACGGAGCGGGCGGGCGAGGTGAAAATAATTGCCTGCACCCAACACTTTGCCGGAGGGCATCACAATGTGCCGTACGGCGGTGTCGAGGGCAGCCTCCAGAAGGCTGTCCTGGACGTGGGCATTCTTATATCGATTGTGTTTCTGGCTGCCACGCTGGTCGCTGGTTATATGCTGCCCGCGGTTCATCATGCGCTGCACTGGCGTTGCCAGATCTATTATGTATTCTGCCTGCTGCTGGGCAAGATTCTGCTGGCCATCGAGGAGCTGAGCACGGCCCTGGTGCCCGGCACAGTCAGCTGCCTGCTGCTAGCGATCGGTATGCAGTTCTTCTTTCTGTCGGCGTTCTTTTGGCTGAACACGATGTGCTTCAACATCTGGTGGACATTCCGTGACTTTCGTCCCAGCTCGCTGGAACGCAATCAGGAGTCACTGCGTCTCCGGCTCTATTCGGCATACGCCTGGGGCCTGCCGCTCCTCATCTGCGCCATTGCCGCCTGCGTGGACCAGCTGCCGGAAACGGAGACTGCGCTGCTGCGTCCGGGCTTTGGCCAGCTGTACTGCTGGTTCGACAATCGCTCCTTGGCCATATTCGCCTACTTCTACGGGCCCATCGGACTGCTGCTGTGCGCCAACATAGTGCTCTTCATATCGACAACGCATCAGCTGACCTGCGGCCTGTGGAAGCGCGATGATGTCAAGTCGACGACGGAGAAATCGGCGCTGGGCCGCGTCTGTCTCAAGCTGGTCGTCGTCATGGGCGTCACCTGGATCTGGGACATAATCTCGTGGCTGGTCGGCGGCCCACATGATGTCTGGCTGCTGACGGATCTGATCAATGCGCTCCAGGGCGTCTTTATATTCATTGTTGTCGGCTGCCAGCCCCAGGTGTGGACCGCCTGCAAGCGCATCTGCTGTCCGCGTCTAAGGCACGACATCACCAATACGACCAACGGCGTACAGCACTCGAGCAGCTCCCAGGGCCTACCCTCCCTTGCCAATGGCACCGAGTTCACCCAGAACACCTCCATGAACATCACAACAACAACAACAGCAACAGCCACAGCCATGTCGCCAGCCAGCCCCGTTGCAGAGGATGCCCCACAAACTGCAGCCAGTCCGAGCGGCCAGGTTGCCGCAAAGATACCCATGGAGACCATTTGCTAAGGTAGGTGTTTGTCCAATAAACACATACAGTGGTGCTCACATAATTGGGGAAGCTTACACGCATTTATCATGTCATCAAAATCGTTAAATATCGATTTTTATTCATTATTATCATTATATTTTAAGCATGTCGATTATTTTAGGAGCCAAGTTCTAGTTTATTCTCACAGATATCTAGACGCAAATTTAATTAAATTGAACAATAGTAACTCTTTGTATATAAACGTACTTGAATCGGACAATAAACACCGAAATTTTTACGAATTAAGAACATTGGCAAGTAGCGCAATCTAATTATTTTTGTATTTTCCAACACTGCAAACTAAGCAACTAGCCAGAGTGTCACTAATTGCATGGCCAGCACTGTGCGCGCACGTTAAGCTGATAAGATTATGTGCTTTAAAAAAACAAAAACAGACGAACAGGTAAATCTTGTAATCGAGACACACCCCAAACAAATACAGCCGTAGAGCTGTCAATTACCTCACTTTCTCTCGAGCGCAAACAGAACCTAAAAGAAAACAACAAAGAAAATCCAAAGAAAATATATGTTCACTTTAACTGAAATTTAGACCTCGTCAGGTTTTACTCGCTTTTAAGCTGCGAGTTACTCATCGTGCGTCTGTAATAAAATAAAGCAGCTGTACCCAGTTTTATCAGTTGGGTTCTCTAATGGGGTAATACGATCTTGAGACTTGCTGAGAACCCAACAAAAGTCAAGCAAATTAGTCATTAGTCGAACATGAATCAAGTCTTTAGTTAGAAATAGGAAATATATTGGTATATTTAAAAACGATTCCTTTCAGAGGCCCCGATTTTAAAGGAACTTTTTCAGAAACGCACAGATTCTTCCCACTTCAACACACTTTTGATTTGCAATAGATCCCATGCCCGAACGCCCCATGTGAACTCAGTCGGGCTTGAAGCTAGACGAACGAAACTTGCTTCGGATGCTGCCATACTATATAGTCTCCATAGGAATACTAGCTTACAGATTGAGTTTTATATAGAACAACTGATCTCAGGCTCAGCAATATTACCCTGATTTGCGAGCGGCAGTTCTTAGTGTTGACTAAGCCATCGAAATTCGCAATGTGTGTTTATTTAATGAGCGTGAGCCATTTGTAACGCCCACGGGCCGCAGTAAGTGCTGCCGGCATGCGTGCCCGAGCATGTGACTTTTTCACTGGGTAAAAATCAACGGGAATTACGGTGCATATATGCCCCGAATGGGAACGGGAAATTGGGAAATTAAGGAACATATGCACACTGTGACAACTATGGGAATTAAACAACACACGCACACGCACACATGTGTGTTGGGTTAGGTTTTTGGTTTTTGTAAAATGGGAAACTTTACAACACTGGCGGACAAGGCGCCGCGGCGCCTCACGCATGTTATTAACATGTTTACCTTGTTTTTATGGCTGGGTTCTTTTGGGCCGTCCTATCCTTTCCGTTTGGCCCAAATGGTTACATTTCACATACCCTGCTTTGTGTCTGGCCCTTTTTGTTGCGCTGTTTAATTGCTTTACGGCCATGCGCCAAGTTTACAATCTCGTCCGTTTCTACTTTTGCTGCTTCAACTGTTGCGTTGCGAACCACTTGAAAGTGCCATAAAAATAACAACAACAACAACAAATAATGTTAAATGTTTTTCATAGCTTTTCACTGGAAAACACATCGCTGTCCGTCGCCGGCGTTGGCCGCTGGCTATTCGGACACTTCCTGTAGATTTCCACATGGCCATAAAATAATCAGCGCAACCCTTGACACACACAAGCTCTCTCTCTGTGTGTGTGTGTGTGTGGCATCCTCTTGAGACCATTTAAATATTACGAATATTGATAGGCAGCCAGTTCGACAAATGGACACACGTTTTACACACTCTGATAAGAAATAAGAAGAAGCCCGCCCACTGCCCCAATGCCTCCCCTCTGCCCCCGCTCCGAGTGAGTGTCTCATTGGCCTCATGGCTGACACATTGCACAACAGCCCGAATATTCATAAAAACAACAACGTATCAAGTGTGCACGACTGCCAGATACCCTGCAGGCAGCTATAACTCAATTACAACTTTAAAATTAATTCAATTTATTAAGTAAAAAATTAAATTTATTACAACTTTCTCATGATAATTATATTATCTAATATTATCTTCTTGATCAATATAAACAGCTCTCTCTCTTTCTCTTTCTCTTTCTCTCTCTCTCTCTCTCTCTCTCTCTCTCCCCCTCTCTCTCTCTTTCTTTATAAATATATCTCTCCCTCCCTCTCTACTTTACTCGCTCTCCCACTCTCTCCTTTCCCTCTATTCGTCTCTCTCTCTCTCCATGTTCTTCTATTTCCCTCTCTTTATATATTTATATATTTCTCTCTTTATATATATGTATATATCTCTTTCTCACTCTGTCTGCTCTTCGTGTCACTCACTCTGTCTCTTCTTCGTCTCTCTCTCTTTTTCTCTTTGTCTCTCGCTTTATTCCTCTCTTTCTTTTTCTCTTTGTCTCTCTCTCTCTTTATCGCTCTATCTCTTTCTCTCTCTTGCTTTTTCTCTTTCTCTCTCTCTATCTGCCTCGGTTCGTCCCTCTCTTGCTTTCTCTTTCTCTCTCTCTCTCTCTCTCTCTCTCTCTCTCTTATCTCTCACTCTATCTCCTCCTGCGCTTGTTACATACATTTACACAACCTTGTTATACCCCATTGGCCGCATTTGAACACAGGGTAAAATGCGGAAAAGCACAATGAAATTGAAATTGAAATCGAAATCGAAATGAAAATGATGCAAAATTGATTGATTTTTATTATTTGCTGTTGGTTGTTGTTAAACAAATATATGCTATATACATATATTTGACTGCGTCACAGCCTGCACAAACAGATGTTGTTGAGCTGCAAGGCCAAAGGGCGTGGTGCGGGGTACGGGGTGCGGAGGGGTGGGAAGGGGCGGCTGGCATGTTTACCAAGCTAATAATCAACGCGCTCCGAAATGACTGCGTGATGTTGTGTGTTGTGTGTGCGTGTTTATTGAGGTGGTTTTACCCGAAACGCTCTCGGTCAACACACACACACACACACACAGATATAGCAGCAGCTCCGGCTTCAACCTGCCCCATGGGCCATTATCATCGCTCTCGAGTGTTACGCAAGCAACATTTTGGGCAATGCCAGCGACGACGCATCCAAAAGAAAGAAAAACAAAAACAAGCCGGGCTTAAAACTGTGCCGGGTCACAGCCAAGTTAACGACACACACACACACACACACACACGCACACACTCGTGGATACTTAAGATCTGTTTCTTATCGAGCACATGTCGCACATTTCGGTCAAGAACTCATTCAACTTCTCGAGCAACTCTCAATTAACATGCATATCACGTAATTCATGAGATTTTAAGTGCCTGGAATATCATGTGATATCTCTTATTTGCAGTTAATAATTAAAGGGCTCTATTAAAATGGAATTTCAAAATAGCTATAGAAAGATATTCCAGATTTTTCATTTGAGAAATCTTTTTCGTGCCGCTTGTTTTCATTTAGCTCAATAATAAACCAATTTTCATACACTTTAAAAATTTAATGAGTTTCTCTTATAATTTGCCCGATTCTCAGTTGTTTACGCCAGACAATCGAATCTTGAGCAAAGTTGTATGGAAACATCTTTATATATATTACATTTGATTAGCCAAGACTAGAGAAAGCTATCCCAAAAAAAGAAATAAGAAATAATTTTCTAAGATTACAGTTAAATATTATTTATTCTATTCAAATTGCTGAGATTTTAAATAATATTAGAAAATGTTTAAGCAAAGCGTTCTTTTATTCTCGTTTCCTAAAGAAGGAAATTTTCAATTTTGTCTTGTTTACAATATTTTTATATATATGTATACTATATTTATCTCGTTGATTTAGTTTTGTGGCAAGCAAAAAGTCAATTAGCCGAGTAAATTGTACCTGTACTTGTAAGCAATTGTGATTGTCAGTTAACTTTCCAACACTGTTGTTTACTGTAATCAAATGTTGTACAATTGTTTACGATAGAGCGCTGCGACTACTTGGAATATTTGAATTGTTTGTGTGTCGCCTTTTTTTGTTGTTGTTTTCTTGTTTGAATGTTTGTAAACAATTACAACACCTCGATTTCCTCATTTGAATGTAAATATTTTGCATTTTTGTTTAGATATTTCATTTACTGAAACAAATTTAAAGCATGTCTTCCCCAACACTGGTCCCACTGTGCAGCTGCAACTGCAACTGCCACAGCGACTGCGGCTGCAATTTCTTTTGCGTTTTTGCATAATCCCGGCGCAACGTGTCACCGTCACGCTCAGCAGCCGTGCAGCAGTCGATCCGCAGATGATGTCGATTCACGTTGGAGTTGCGCTCTAAATGAGGTATAACACGGCGGGGGTTGGAGTAGGGGTCGGTGCCAGGGGAAGGGGGCATCTTTCGTCAACTGGTGCGCGCATATCAGCGTCTTTTTAATGCCAAACACACATGTATCTATCTGAGTGTGCGTTTGTATCTTATAAATACGAATGTATCTTGCGGATACGACAGCGAGTTTCAGTTCGAGCAGCCGGCGGAGTACGTGACTGTATCTTTCAGTACTTTTTGTCAAATTAGCAAATACAGCAAAAATGCGATACTTTCAGCATACACACACACACACACACACACACTCGCACACTCCGTTCATTAATCGAGTTTAGCAGCAATTTTAATTTGTACGCTCTGCAGTTTTTCAAGTAATAATTGCAATGTGGCCCATTTGGATTTTACGCTCAGCGTTTTAAATACATTCACAGAGTATATGCTAAAATATGCTAATAATGCATTATACCCTACACATACATACATATATATATGTATATACGTATACACATACATAAACTTGGCAATATGGTCAAGCTGAGACTAAGCTAGGTCATTTATTATAAAAATCCAGATCAAGCTATAATATACATACATATATATATTCTTATGTGTACACATATATAGAGCATTAGAAGTTCGTTAAAGTCCGTTTTCGATTTGCGGCTCAAGCGCGTCGTCAAAGTTGTTCTGTGTTCCGCAAGCGAGGTGGGTTTATAAACATATCAGAGGTTTTTTCAAAAACTTGTAATTGCTTTGGTTTTGTGTAAGAATAAAATATATAAACTGTAAAATATTTTGGTGCTCTCTTAAGTTGTTTTTAACACACAGGAAGCCACATTTTCACATAATGTAAACGCTTAGACAGAAGTGTGAGCTTTTCCTTTAAAATGCCAGCAAAAAAGTAGGAAAAAAATAGGAGGTAAAAGAATTTAAAGTTAAACATTCCATGTTGTTCTAACTCATTTTCGAAAATCATTGTAGTACTTCATTGACAATTGACAAAATTGTTTAATTCAAGCTGACGAAAGAAAGATATAAATATATTATTATATATTGAAACTGAACTGCATTAGTATTATAATTATGTGCAGTATTTTGTAAGTTTTCAAATAACTTTTCAAGCCACCCTCGCACGAACTTCAATATGGTTGTAATCATTTGTTGCCCTTTTGTCTCTTCGCATTTTGCAGAAAACTGAGACGAGCGACAATGCGAAAGTAAACCGAGTCCTACAACAACAACAGCAACAACAACAATGGCAATGAAGGCAGCAACAATAAAAACGGCAAGCGGCCAGACTTGCGCAATAGCTGTTACAACAACAACAACAATAACAGCTACAACAACAACAACGAAGACGGCAATAAGCACAACATTCAAGCACGCGCATTGACCGAACGGGCAACAACTGCCCAGCCCAGCCCAGCCCAGGCCCAGGCCCAGCTGGCCAAGCTTTTTCTTAATGTAAGTGTATTGAGCAAAACTGTATGTGCGCATGTGTGTGTGTATCAGTGTGTCTGTGTGTGATTTTCAAAATCAGTTTTAAGCCACAGCCGCACAAAGACGAACAAATTACTTACATAAATACACACATGTATGTATGTATGCATGTATGTACATTGTGTGCGTGTGTGTGTGTGCACTTTTATATGTATTTAACTTGAGCTTCAACACAAAAGAAATCATTTAATTTGTACAAATAACGGTGTGCAATGGCAGCAAGATAGGCGCAGAGGGTGAGAGAGAGAGAGGAGAGGAGAGGAGAGTGTGGGTGTGGGTGTGAGAGCGCAGTGATTGAGAGAAAGAGAGCAAAGGCTCCGCGGCTTGAACGTTTAACATTCTTAATTGAAAAGTCAAAGGCAGTGTTGCAAAACGTGCTGAGCCAGCCGAGTGGGCGGCAAAGGAATGTACATATGTACTAATAACAGAATGGAAGACAAAGCGTTGCCATTGTTCAAAAAATACTTTCAAATGGCAATTCACAAAAAAAAACACACACACACACACATGCACATAAACAAGCACAACAGGCATGTGCTTTCTAAGCATTTGTGCATGCATGTGTGTGTATGCATGTATGTTATGCTGGTATTTTGTTTATGCAAACGCAAGCAGCAGCAGCGACGGCAGCAGAGGCAGCGACGGCACCGCGCCAGTCGTCACAAGGAATTTATTGTTGAGGCATTTTTTCTCAGTTTGGTTTTTATTTCGTTTCTCCTATTTCCCGCCGCAGCTGCTGTGTTTGCTTTCAAGTGGCTCGCGCAGCCACAAAAATGTTTGAGTGTGAGAAAACGGCAACATTTAAATTAGCTGATTCTGATTTGGATTTGGATTGCGTTTGCGCTGCATTTCACGTCAACATCTCACGTACAAAGCGCGCACACACAGCCATAAACAAATCTATGCATGTGCATGTGCATGTGCATGTGTGCATGTGTGTGTGTGCGTGCGTGTGTGTGTCGCTGCTTTCTGTCATTTCGATTGCTCAATCGGTTTGGTATTTATTTTCTTAACGTTTTTTATGGTTTTTTAAGTAAAGTTTTGCGTTTGAAAATTCTTTTATGGTTTTTTTTTTTTTAAAAACTTCCCTTTTTGGATTCAACTCAAATATTATTTAAATTTCAGTTTGTCAATTCTTCTCGTCTAGGGTTTTTTTTATTAACCATTTTAACGACTTCTCAACACTATTTTTCTTTTTGCTGGTAAACATATAATCTATTATGTTATTAATGTTGTGTTAGTATATCAGTGTTTAGTATTTTTCAAAGAGCAATAAATAAATGCATCGGTTTGATGAGAGCCCATTTACATTGGCAAACACTCTTCGGCAAGGTGTCTTGTTCACTTGGTCCAGGGGCTTCTTGTAGGTGTTGCGTTCTGCCTTCAGTAGCTATCGTGAGTGGGCGTGGTCCATTGACTGGACACACCTGAAGCGCCTCAGCTCTCAGCATCGGTGCGTCCGTCCGTCCCTTTGCTCGATAGGAGCAGCACTTGAGAAGTTCCTGGGATTGCCTTTGCTGGTAAAAATAGAACTTCTGGTACATATATGTCCATATTAACAAATCTCATAATAAGAGATTTTACAATTTAAAGACACTGTTTAAGATCTTGGCTTATCCTTGAAGTTCTACTAATATATCGTAAAAAGAGCACTCTTTAAATGAAAAAGCCAGCATGTCAGTGCTGTTTAGTATATTGGTTCAGAAAATGAATTTATTCAGTTTTTATAATGTTCGCTTAGCCTATGGATATACATATATACTTATGCTGTTATTCGTTAACAGCTACAAAGAGAGGGAGAGTGAGTAGCTCGCATATGCCTGTATTAGTGAGCATATAAGTTATTCATTAATGTATGTTCTGCGATGTAACACAATGTTATCTTGGGTAAGTTGCGTTGATCCCGCGCTGCCCTTGATCAAAATATGTTCTCCTTGATCCAGTAATATTACGAAAGATATGTTTTATCGGCAATGCCGGAGCAGTATATTTATTTCGGCGACTTATGTGTTGCGCGCTTCATATAAAACTGAAAACTAGGGGACAAGCAAATTATACAAATACCCTAAGCCTCAATGCATCACGCCATCAAAGCATGGTCGGCAAGCCGACTCAGCATTCCATGCAGTGTCAGCTTACCGCTGCTGGCCGTTCTTAGCGCAGAGCGCTGAACTCAGTTCTGGCGCGTCAGCATTGTTAATACGAAGCTACTTAATTGCTAGGGCAATATATTTATGCTTAGTTGTTAACTACCCCCCCCTCAGGATGATGGCCGTCCTCGGGCATGTCGTATTTGTCAATCGCCTTCTGCATCTGCATGGAGGCTCGTCTTTTCCTTAGCACCAGAAAAAGGAAGAATGAGCCAATTAGTCCGACATTCAGGACCGCGCCAATCGCGAACCAGAATTTAGGCGAGCCAGCCGCAACTACCTCCTCCTTGAAATCTCGAATTGATAGCAAGTTGTTGATGTTCATACGATGCAGGAGTGGTATGCTTAGTGCCGGGTCATGTCCGATGATGTTTAGGAGCGGTGACCTCACGATGCCAGGCTGCTTGCTTAGTGATTTGCGCAGGTTTACAAATTCTGTGCCATTGATAGTTGCAGACCGTTCGAAAGTTATCAGGAAGGTTCCTGAGACGGTTACCTCTGCGTCATCATCTGTTCGGACGCGCGCTGTCGCTTCGTTGATAACCACGACGCCGTCATCTACAGGCATTATCGCTTTCAGGTGGCTAGGTTGAGTGTGGCAGTTGGCGATGTTTCCCGCGTGAAGGGAGCTAGCACAGGTTTCGCGCCGTGCTCGTTCGCAGAAGGTGTTATGCGTAGTTACGGTGCATCCAGTAACTGCAAAGGTATCCTTTTCGCATTCCGCCAACGTGTCTTCGTCGAGTCGCAGAATGGTTTGTTGGTGTGAAACGGGGTAGACGGAGACCTTTTGGCACCTAAACTCAACTTTAGGGTAGGCTATTAATATGTGGATAATATTCTCGGACTGAAGGACCTTGATCTTAGAAGCTTCTATCAAGCTAACTATTGGGGTATCTTGTTCGATAAGTGATTTTAGATCGGTATGATCAAGGATTGTAGGATTTACTATGCTTGCTTTTGCCAACGTTATGGTGAGTACTAAATTTTGAATTTCTGTGTTCAGTATTCTATTTCTTGCCAACAGGGTCTCGAATAAATGAGGAGTGTCAACCAAATCGCCTTTGCGGGAACTGATAATTTTATTGATAGTGTCCGTTAGTCTGTTTATTTGTTTTTGAGTTTCGGAGTTTATTAGTATCTGTTTGGAGTTAGCCTCCACCAACTGCGTCTCTGTAACGCGGATCCTTAAGAAATCTGAAGCATCAGGGGTGCCAGCAACAACCTTCAAGGCAGTGCCTAAGAAATCGAGGCTTCGTGCAAATCTGTGATGCACTTGAAGAACGGACAACAATGTTCTAAGGTGATCTGTATCTACGTCTAGTAGTTTGCGCATATGCGACTGTGGAAAGGAATCGGACAGTCTTTCCGTCTCGTCTATCATACTAACAAATTCGGAAATGTTACTTGAGTGCCTCAAGTAGCTACGTTGATCGAACACCAGTACTTCCCCGTCTAAGACCGGAATGTAGTTGACATGCGAGAAGTCGGTGATCCGAGCATTTACCGCTGCTAGTGCCACAAGCAAAGTGAGTGCAAACCTGAAATGGACGAACAATATAAGACGGTGTTTAAACTCTGAGTTGGCTTACTAGCTAATTGTGGAGGAAAACTTATTTCAGGTTGTCCTTATGGACCACCCTCCCCTTAATGAGGACAGACGTTCCCAGGTCTGCTTCGACCTTTTGTTCTGAGCATAAGGGAGTTAACTTGTTCCCTAGCCTCTTGTTGTTCTTCTGGAACACCTTTTCTCCTACCTCGAAAACGCGGTTTTGTCTGGATGCATTGCACCTTTTGATATTGTCTTGCTGTGCCTTAATTAGCCTGTTTTTGACGTTCCCGCGACGATCAGAAGCTGCTGCATGAACGACCTCAATTGGTTTCTCGAGGGTTACTGAGTGCAAACTTTTGTTGTACTCTATCGTAGCCTTTAAGATTAATTCTGTAGTGTCGCTGATTTTCTTGTCTAACTTGAGGCATCTCGCAATTTCGGTCAGGGTGCTATGAAAGCGCTCCACCTGGCCGTTTGAGGTGCTGTGAAGCGGAGCCGCATTCACAATGCAAATGCCGTAGGCGTTTCGGAGCATCGAAGTGATGGTCTCGGAATTGAAGGCCGCCTCGTTATCGCAATAAATTGTCTTGGTTGCGGGAAAAAGGTTAACAATTTGCAGTAGAGGGCTTGTGACATCGATTATCGTTCTGGATAATATCGGTTGGACGACTGCAAATTTTGAGAATTTGTCTATGCAGGTCAAGAACTGTTTCTTGTCTGTCGAGAAAATGTCAATATGCAACATTTCGCCAGTATAACTTGGTATAGGCGTTTCCCCGAGTTCTTGTTTCTTCGGGTGCCTATCGTATTTGGCTTTAGTGCAGACCCTGCAGTTTGCAACCACTTCTTTGGCCAGACTGGCCATATTGGGAAAATAATAGTCCCGAAGTACTTGTTTAATGTTTTCCTGAGCTGCTCTGTGCGCTCGATTGTGCTCGGCAGTGATGATTTCTAACTGCTCGTTTTTGTCCGTTATATCTTGCACAAGATTTTTGCAATGCCAGAATTGGGTAGCAGGGAAATACAAAATCAGGTCGTGTTGGAAACTTGCCAACGTGGGAAGATCGCAATGTATTGCATTAACGACTCCAGAATTCACAACTTCTTTGAGGGTTTTGAGAATTGAGCTCTTGTCAGTGTAACTGATCAAGTGGCGTGTTTTGCTGCGAAACAGCAACAAGTTTCGCTTTAGCGGAAAACGCGATTCCTCTAGGACAATCTGGTTCCTAAAGCAATTCAAAGGTTTGTCTGTTGTCTCGACCGTG